ACAGTTGGCTTAGCCCAGATTTGAAGTAAGTAGGTGACCTATTCCTGATGCTGGTGCCAAGCTACTTACCCATATAGAATAATTGACTCTCCAAAATGGTGTGTTGGAAATCAAGATCTTGTTCTGTATGCTCTTTCAAATTTACTCCGTTGATAGTAATTGGTGCTGGTTGTTTCCCGTTGGTTAATTTCATCACCTCTGTCTTCTCTATGTTCACATAGAGTCCTCTGCTCTACCTCTATCTATCTACCTCTATCAGTCAGCTTGTTGGTTTTCTCGTCCCTGTAAGTCTTCAAGTTTGTGTGACATGAGACATAGATGATCTTCAAAGTCCAGATCTTCCAGAGTCATCTCAAAGATCCAGTAGATTCCTCTCTCTTCTCGCTCCTGATGAACGGTGTACCGCATTATCCGATCCACCATCACATTTATGAATATCATTGATGATGAATAGGCAGTGGCCTGGTCTATAAGAATTGGGCGAACAGCACTGTATAGTGTTGAGGTAGATTCCACATCACTTATCAATCAGTCAACATTGTCGAATTCCCTTTCAGATTCGATGGAGTTGAGGTCGAGAGAAGTGTTCAACTATCATTCTGTGCTTTGCTCAATGATGATGCATAGAGTTATTAGTAGTATGTAAAGTGTAGTAGGTCTGTGGTTCACTGGTCGAATGCTCACCAGTCACACAAGTCATCTGGTTTTGATTGCCAACTTCTCCTTGTTTACTAGGCGGTAATTGGCTGTGTAGAGAAAGTAGGTCGGGTGTGAGTCTGGCAGTCCCACCCCGTGAAAATCGACTCCACCACCACCACCACAACAACAAGAAATGAAACTGCAAAACTTGTAGGCCTATATTCCACTAAAAACGTAAAACAATGAAAGATATCAAGTAACGTCTTCCAAGGAAGAATGAGAATTCCTGTGTCAGTCAGTGGAAAAGGCATCGGTAACGTCTCTGACTGCATCACTGATGCGTTGATGTGGGTTATAATCTCAGACAACAAACGATTTCCATCAATGATTGCAGATATAGGGTGGCCTACGAGTGTCAACGAGCAAAAAACCAAGGTACAGTGCTTCCTACTGACGCACCTCCGACCAGTTCACTTCAATTCACAATGCCCTGATGTTGAGAGCAACCACCTAACTTGGTAATGATTTCAATGGATAGAATTCAGTCTTCACTAACACCAAGTATTTGGCACATGACATAGATTACTCATTAATGTCTCTTCAATGAATGCTTGTTGCGTCCTTAAGTGATAAACAATTACATCTGTCATCATGAGTCATGGTCTCTTCAAAAGCTGATCACCTCCTGCCATAATAATAACAACAGTAGCAATAATAATAATATTCATACATGACAAGTAACCCACCGTTTGAACGTTGCACAGAGACGACGTCACCATCTGAATTCAATCAAAAGTAGAATGAGTAAATAGTTCAAATATTATTTTTAGAGCATAATTGATTCCACTGTAGTCTAATAAATGTCATCATGAGTTAGAATGGACAATGAAATCGAAAGTAGGGAGGGGAAGGGAACTGTCGTTACTGTATCTATTTATTCATTTCCAAATATCCTGCTCATAGATGTAATTAGTTTTCCCTGATTGATAATGACACACAACTCCTGAAATATCATAAGTGGACAGAAACACCATGCCAGTCCTCCCCGACCTATTGTCAACCCTTCTCACCTTATATTTCATCAGATAGGCCTAGAGGACATTATAAAAGATTATATAGTCATTCGTCAACCAAGTACAGGAACTCAACGATACCCTGTTTGGCCTTCATTATGCACCATATCAACCGATGGCCTGTTCAACACATGCTCAGTCCATCTCCATATACTCCTACATACTTGTTGGGCATTCGGCTCTTGGTTGGTTTGTTGTCAAAGTTTATTTTTGCTAATTCTTTCTGACCGGCCAGCTAACTGACCTACAGTATAGAGCCAGCGAAGGCGTTTGTTGATAAAAGCTTGCTGTGGCTTGTTGGAAATCCTTTTCTTGACACGCTGGTTATGCTGCAAACCCATATCGAAGAAGTGACCGGCAGCAGATTTTAAACTGGTTTTAGTTTGACGAAGGCTTTTCTCGCCTTTCCGATTCTCACCGGCTTTGACACATTCCCCTGTTCCGACTGCCTGAGTGTGAAACTGTGTTTCTCCGCCGGATAAGTGAAGGAATTGAGCAACCTCCGTCAAATCTTCTCCATTGATGGTGATTGGTGCGGATTTTTGTTGCTATTGCTATTGGTCTGACCATCGTTTTCGCCTTTTATATTTTCACCTTAAATGTCGCCTTCTCTGCCAGCTTCCTCCGCTGGTTTGTCGGTTTTCGCTTGCCTGCAAGTCTACAAGTCTGTATGACATTAAAGAGAAATCATCCTCATGTGTAATCCAGATCTTATAGAGTCCTATCTTCGATCAAACGTTTTCCTATTTTCTCGCTCCCTACGTGCGGTATTCTGCATGATTCATTCCACCATAACTAAGAATATCATCAGTGATAATAGGCAGGCAGCCAGTTTGTCTTACTTCTGTATTCACTTCACAGGCTTCGGTCAGATCTCCGTTGTGGATCACTCGACACGTGACACTTTCATATATATGTTGGATGAGGTTGATAAAAATTTGGACACTACGCCATGATGTTGAGGCAGTTTTTAAATTACTTCTTGGTCAACAGTGTCCGTCGAAAGACTCGTCAACATCAATGCAGTTGTGATAGAGAGAGGTTCCATGGCCATTCTACACTCTTTTCGACGATAGTGAAGCTTAGAGCTGCAATTTGATCGGCACATGATTTGACTTTTTTGAATCCAGCTAGTTTCAGTGGGTGGGGCGGAGTTCAGTGCATCTTTTAGTCTCTCCAGGAGGACGCAACTTAGAACTTTACTTGGCATGGAAAAGAGTATTATTCCGTATCAGTCAGTTCTTGGAGAGGCCTTACTAGGTCGCACTTGTTCGGTTGCTTGATAAGGTAGTCTCTCGTTCTCCCCAAACTTTCTGCAACAATGACGTGAGCACATATGCTGCAGTCTCTGGGTCCATTTTCAGTGCTTCGTGAAGAAATTCCATCTGGCATGTTTTACAGGTGAATTTTATTAATCCTAATTTTTCTTAACTACTATGTTTACCCTTTTCCCAAGTTCATATTCTACTTCATCACCGCGATTTATTAAGAAATATGTGAAAAAATGAGATTCGTAACGAAAAGTACAAAAATAACAAAGAAAATGACGTAGAATTCAAAATCATTTTAGTGCTGCCGTATGAATATGTAAAGTCAGACACCCTACGTTGGATTCTTAATGAAGCTGGAATTAGTCAGGATGGGATTCAGACCAATCAATCAACTCGCTGAGCGATAAACTTTGTCGGCTTAAGCACCCACCCGATAGACTCAATTAGGAAAAATAATGTAATTTGCTAAATACCATGTAATTACTGTTTGTGAAGGCAAGAATCTCAGGGGTCAAAGTAGTAGATTAGAGTAATTTAGATTATTGGAACATAGATTGATTGAATCCGCTAAGTTAAATAACCGCGAGAAAATCTCAGCTATCTCATTGCATTTATTTACATGTAGCCACGTGAAATAGTGACAGTATTCACAAGTAACCGATGTCAGTCAGCGAACCAGTGAAAGAGCACTGGACAGCTGTTTCCCCCTAGTCTGGGACTCACCTGCAGTACGCACCCGTAATGCTCGGTCTAAAGTCAGAACGTTCCTGATACAAGGCAAGTTCGCGGGTCATTCATTCATTCACTGAGACCCGACTCTTTAATAGCCAGCCCATGAATTCTAACTTCTATCAAACTAGAACGAAGCAGGTATCCACCTACTGTCTCACTGGTTTTCAATGTGACTCTCACGGATATCAGTACTTGATTAGAATTGAAAAACACACCAAATCCCTACAAACTCATTAAAATCAATCTAATGCTCGCTAGTGACTGACTGATTGGCTGCAGGACGAAGTTGCCTGGAGTGACTTCCAGTGAGAAGTCGTGATCAGTGAGGTTCACCAGGTCGGTGGTGAGGACATCTACTCACCAGTGATGACTGGCGATGGCTGGTGAAAGTCGTACTGCTAAAATCATGGATTGTTAGTGATAGGATCCACATATTTTGGTATTGACTGTTTAATCTTGCATATATGGTATGTTATCATTCTCACACATTTTGGTATTTACTGTTAATCTTGTATATATGGTATATTATCATTCTCACACATTTTGGTAGTGACTGCTAATCTTGTATATATGGTATATTATCATTCCCACACATTTTGTTACTGACTGTCAACCTCGCACATATGGTATATTATCATCTCTCACGCACTTTGTTATTGGCTATTAAGATAAATTATTTCAAATGCTGTTAGCTGTCCATATTGTTGTAAAATGTATAAATACCATGGCTTTCTTTATCGTTGTTGCACTTCAATACACAGTCACAGTCCAGCCTTTGTCTTTTGATATTTGCGTGCTTTACTAAGTCGGAAGGTACGACGAGCAGATAGACAGATTAGTTCAGGCGCAGACAGAATAAGGTGAAAACGTCTTCATTCAATTCCCTACAGTTATAACAAATTGGCGACGGGGTTTACCTTAATTCAGTGCAGCTATAACAGTTAGAAGTTGGAATTTATAGGCTGGTGATTGATGAGCCACTTCCCAGTGACTAAATGCTCCTCGAGCTTATCTAAAACGTACAGTTCCAATGACGTGTGGAACGAATCCTTTTATCGTTATGAAAATGTATTTCACATACACTGAAGGCCTCTTCTTCGATAACACATTTTCTTCACAAAGTGTAAGTCTTAACAATCTCTCCGCCTATATCTCTAGGGACAGATGGAGAACTCTGGCAATTACTCATGCGGAATCAAATCAATTTATAACAAAGAAAATAATCAATAAACACACTGATTACATAATCAAAGATGACCAGAATAAACTAGAAGAAATAACTTACCAGTTGTCTGCAAAACCACGAATACCAGCACTAAAGTTGCACAACACAGTTTCATTCTGAAGGTATCAATTCGGATATAGAAATATGTTCAATTGTCAAGTGTTTATATACTGAATTGATTGTCTTTATTTTCACACACACACACGTAGTGTATGAAATTATGTCCATATATCCATTCATCTATCTATCTATCTGTCTGTCTGTCATCAATCTATCTGATTATGAACAAATATGTCTGTATTGTTTTCATGATAACGTGGCATTCTATCCGTAGACACAATGAAACTCTTCTTGTTTGCATCGTATTGTCGTCTTCTTTGACCTCAGTCTGTCAGCTTCCGAAGTGTGTGGGTGTGGTCTATGTGAACAACACACGTTCTATTTCTAACTTCATCACAAGAAAGGAATTGAGCTTTAAGAATTCGCTGTATAAATGATGAAATGGCTTTCAGTGGTTGACTTTACGAGACTGTCTGATCATTGTGTTCACTTGGGTGACTAAGTATCTAACTACTACTTATATCAATCAATCAGTAGTCAGCCAGTAGTACGTAGCACTTTGCATTTATGTTTGTTTTCTTTATCACCATTTACGGCATCGAACGTGTGAAATATTGCGGCTTGAACAATTTCACATTTTAAAGAAAACTGAGGAGGAGTTTCACCTGGAAGTGTATTACAATTATTACTTTTCCCTTGGGTTCCGAGTGGAACATAGATGTTCACTAGATGTTTACGTCTCCAATTTATCCTATTTTCTGAGGTTTTCCTTACCTGCCCCCATGATTGTGGATCAGCTCTCATCCCCTTGTCACATGGTCTTCACCATGTCACCTTCGGAGATAGGCTTAACTTGCCGTTTCCCATTCAGTTTCCACTGGAGGGATTAACTGGCATGTGATGTCTTCCAGCAGTTTCCTCGGTGTGTGTCCAAACCATCTCTATTTTAAATGATGCATTCTTGCAGCAATAGATTCTTGTTTGATTGATTGGTCCTGGTTGACTTCAGCTAGAAATACCATCCACTTTTGCTCTAGGGTCATCTGTCTCACTGGACCTGAGCTTTTGCCACACTCTCAGCTGATGGTTGGATGTGGCTGACAGGCAGATCCGCAACTGGATTTCATGCTCTTCACCACTTGTCCACATGGTGTCTGCGTAACCTACAGAAGAATTCATCTATCCTCCTAGGATTCGAACTCGCCTTAGAAAGTAAATCATTCACCCTCCACAATATTTGACTGTCACTATATCGATTTTATTGGTCAATCCACTATTGAACAAACTGTTAATACTGTAGACAGTAGAATGTAAACTAACTAGTGAAAGCATAAGAATCATTGACAGTAAGATTATCTGATATGGCGATGTGATGATAAGCAGTCGATTAAAAGTCTCTTCGCCTTGTTCTAATTCAGTATGTTTGAGACTGACCAGAGAAGACTTGTCAATGCTATAATGATCTCCTGACAGATGTACATTCCCCTTATTGACGAGGGAGTGAAATAATAACTGTGTTGGCATTTCTCTCTCATGGCTCAGCTAATAGAGCACCAGTCTAGCAATAAGCAGTCTGTTGGTTCGAGACCTATCAGTAAAAGCAGTTTCACTTCACTTTGAATCATTAACTATTATAAAAAATAATCATTAGAGTTTCAGTCAAACAGTGAGATTTAAGTGAAACAATGAACATGCCTTGTGTGTTTGACTTCATTAGAACGACTGTCATTGCACTCCGAAGAATGCAAAGGCGAGACTGAACATTTGAATGCCTATTGGATGGATGCAACTGTTTCACGCTTCTCTTCTTTTGTCTAGACTTTATGATTTTCTCACCTCGATGACATGAATAACGTTGCATTTGTCAACAACAAACGTCATCGTCAATAAAGCGTTGAATGCTGGTGGTTATTCGCCCTATTCAATACAGCAAACAGAGGCATCTACTGAAATCTTTTATTCACTCGTATTTGATTTCATCATGCTTATGTGTTTGTTAAATAACTTTTCAATTCTTAAAGTTCTCAACATTGCTCGACCACTTTTGATCTAGCTGGCCTGATTGAATCATCACTGGACTGCCTAAATTTCTATCCAGCATTAATACACAAGCTCTCCTACATTTCCTTTTGTTGACATCGTCTAAGTGTGCTTTGGATCACCACATTGACTCTCATCTAGTTTTAGTTTGTTGTAGTACAGAGCATTTCTCAATAGAAATGAGAAGATTGGAATGTCGTAGAGATTTGAATATCGCTTGAGATGGAATGATGCATGCAGAGTGACATGTTGTACTGCAGGATACAATTTTATATGAAGATCCTTTACGAAGACTGGATACTTTGCAGACTGAACACACTGAACATTCTGCATTTTGTGTTAACATATAGCCAAGAATGAAACTGTTATCAGTATTATTATTTAGTGACAGTTAGAGATTCTTTGCAGCAAACTTGCAAATGATGTTCACCAGATGCAAGTTTTTCTCCATATCTTTAAAAGATAAGCTACCCCGTCCATGTGCATCTACCAGTTCACGTGCTCTTGTGGAGCGAAGTACATTGGCCGTAGCCAGAGAACGCCGATTTCCACACTTACACGAGAACACATTGCAGCAGCATAGTTTTACCAGAGAGAAAGGAAAGTGTGCTAAGCTGTATTCTAGAATACCTGATCTACTCCTGTCACTTCACCAACAGGGGATGCCTTGGCCATTGATGAATTTAATACAGACTCTTTTTGGTATTTGGCTGTAGAGGGGTAGACGTTTTTTTATTGATTTTGTCTGTTTAGTTATTCTATGTACCTTTTCCTCATTGCTACGATTATTACTATTCTCACTTTGAATTGTTTCTGTTTGTCGCATCTGTCATTCTAAATCCACAAGTTTTGGTCAATGTTAAATTCTATCGCATGAAATTTCACACCATGTTATGTATCGTTTTATATTGGCCTAGCACACCTATAATTATACATCCCTTTCCAGCATCTATACATCTCACGAATTATTCTATATATGACACTAAATCTTTGATACTTCACATTTAACTATGATTATAATCATAAATATTTTAATTGCATTTCATACTATTATTATTTTACGCATTCACACCATGAATAAATTCCGTAACCGGATTTACTTCTTTAAAACCATATACATATTCGATTGTACAGCCTGATAATAAATTTTTTGTTGAAAAGATTCTCTTCACTGAACGTGGTGTTCTCAAGAAGTTAAAATAACTAACCAACTTGAATTCATGCAAAATTCAAAATTAGCGGAAAATTTGTGAATTATTCAAAAATACTGTAAATTAACAAACAAACAAACCAACAAGCAAACAGTCCGACATGTCATGTTCAAACTAATCGTTAAATCCACCAATGCCACATGAGATAAACTGGCCATCACAAAATATGATCATGACATTAGCAACACATTCTAATCTTCCTATGTGAGTATGTGTGCGACATGGAAGTAAACGAGGGTAGGAATGAAAATGAGTAGGAGGAATCACGGACTGCATTCTCTGCACACAAATGATCTAAATGCTGGTAAACCCAGAAATTGTGGCAAAGAGGTAATACTTAGATGCACATTGAATGTCCAGGACTTATTCAATGAATTGTCGAATATACGAAGTGAAAAATGGATAAGCAGTGGATTCCCCAGTCGATCCATCACTCAATACTGTTGGACCACTTCACATCAGACAGACTATTATTATTATTATTACATGGCAACAAGAAATTGAAATAGTCAACATATTCTCATTTCTCGTGAGTAAAATTCAGAATAAGTAGAAAATCAGTGGAATGGTCGATAGTAATATAAACGAAGAGGGAGTCAGACATTTCATGTTCAGGCTGATTGGTAAGTACCTACTTCAAATAGACATGGAATGAAGTAGTCATTACAAGGTGGAATCACAATCCTCTCAGCAAAATGTACACAGTCTGTCTGTATGTGGGTGTGTGTGAGCACATCACTTATTGAAATTACGATCTCCGATGTCCCAGGAATAGATTTCATTGAACGTTTATTAGTGAAATTGCTGCCAGAGTTAAATGTCGGTGGCCTATAGACCTATAAGTTGAACAAGACTCTGACAGTGTGTGATTGATAGGATCCCACATATTTTGGTATTGACTGTTTAAACTTGCATATATGGTATGTTATCATTCTCACACATTTTGGTATTGACTGCTAATTTTGTATATTATCATTCTCACGCATTTTCGTAGTGACTGCTAATTTTGTATATATGGTATATTATCATTTCTCACACACTTTGTTATTGGCTATTAAGGTCAATTATTTCAAATGCTGTTAGCTGTCCATATTGTTGTAAAATGTATAAATACCATGGCTTTCTTTATCGTTGTTGCACTTCAATACACAGTCACAGTCCAGCCTTTGTCTTTTGATATTTGCGTGCTTTACTAAGTCGGAAGGTACGACGAGCAGATAGACAGATTAGTTCAGGCGCAGACAGAATAAGGTGAAAACGTCTATCATTCAATTCACTACAGTTATAACAAATTGGCGACGGGGTTTACCTTAATTCAGTGCAGTTATAACAGTGATTGAATAAGTTTCGACTAGTGGTCTGATGCCCTCCCACACTGACATCCAAACTCTCTTTCAAGACCATTCTACACTACATACTCCTGTCTCTATTCGCCTTCAACTAAAAGTTTCGAGGCTTCAAGAAAACCTTGAGTTTAACATTATGTCATATGGTTTGTTCAGTAGTTGACAGTGGTACTTGAAACCTGTGTATCCTGGGCTCCAGTCGTGGCGAGAGCACCATCAGGTAATGAAAAAAAATTCAGGTAAACTCATCTAACGAGACCCACAGAGGGAAGAAACGTGCATCCAAGATATCAGTCAGCATCAACCAAGTGACATTCGCTACACACTATCCTATTATAAAATGAAAAATCATATTCTCACACGTGCCTAATTAGAATGAATATGAGTCTATTCATATTACAGAATAAATCAGACGAGAAATACGTGCAGTCAACAGAGAATACGAGAGTAGAACATTCCTCAAGTCAACCAACACACGATGACGATATTGACCACAATGAAGAGACAGAGAGAGAGAGATGGAATGTGAAATGTGAGAATTTCATGAATTTCATGTTCAAAATA